TGCTTGGGTCTGGCTTGGAGGAGGGTTGGAGGTGGACGACGAACCGTTATAACCCATCTGTAATAACAAGCCAGAAAACATCAGAGTGCGGTGAAAATTTGGGGACGGTGATTAGGTAACATGCCCAGACGTTAAAATGTAATAAATCGAATCAAACGTCCCATACCGATGACAGCCGTGGATCCATGGGGTTAGCGTGGTTTCTCTGGCCGGATTACGTTATCGACAGTCTGACTGAAAAGGCGATTCGTCCGGTTCGTGGAGCTCTCCCCGCAAGGTCTCTGAGGGATCTGCTGAAAATTCTGGTCGGAGAACACAATTCAAACACGGAAGAGAGGTTTTACCATTTGCAGATCTAGGAAGGAGAAGGTAACTGCGATTGTGCTGAAATCACAAAAGTTCCAAATAGTGAATTTTTGTGGAAGAGAACTGGACAAAAAAGTTGGGAGAGAGAAGAGTTTGGGTTGGTGAGGCGTGTAAATGAGGGGGAGTAAATTGGGAAAGTGGAGACTTTAGGCCTGCAATCTTGTCAGACATTTGTGGTATAAAAAAAAGTCTAATGGTTGCTTTTTTTATTGTTAACGGGTAGAATTATAATGGACATTGCATCCAGACAGGCCCTAAATAATTTCGTGTAACGAAAGTGTAAAAAAATTATTTCCAATACTTGTCCATTACACGTTGTTGAGGAGGAAAATTGTTGACGAGAAAACAAGTTTGTTATTGTACACAAGAAGACAAATGAATTCCCAAAAAATTGAAGACAATGGGCCCACATTAATTAATTCAAACCTGCAAGAATANAATTGAAGACAATGGGCCCACATTAATTAATTCAAACCTGCAAGAATAGTCAAAGAATCAATTACAACTTTGTATGATACGAAGGGCATTAGTTGAAATTTTATCCAAAATCTTAGGCAACCAAGGACAAGCACTGTACATGATTTGACTTGAAAGTCAATTTTTGGAAATGCCTAATCGCTCCCAGACATCACCTTAACCTTATTTTGAAAAATGCATTTCAAAAAATACCATACTATACAAGTTTTGATTATTTTACAAAATTAAAAATAGTAACAAACTAAACACCAGTTTAAATTTTTGGCGACTTGCTTTAATGCCTCTGGTACAAAATAATCGTTTAAACTCTAACTTGTTAATGTGAGAGAAAAAATTGATTGTTTTTTATTTTATACTTTTTAGCAGATTTAACAACGTTAATGCCTAAGGGCTCGTTTGTTATATCAGATTATGTAAGATTAGAGGTGTCAATCCGGGTGGTCCGGGCCGGGTCGGCCCGCCAACATGTGAGCCCGGTAACGGCCCGCGTGAAAAAAAGCCCGCCCGCTGCGGGTTCCGGGCCGGTTACGGGTCGGCCCACAATTTTGGACTACAAC